CGTGAATCAAGGATGGGCCACGCAATAGCCCGGAATTCGGAATATTCCGTCGGAAGTAACATTGCGTAAGGCATCCTGGTTTTGTTTTTCGGAGGGGAAAGGGGGAGGGGGGTGTGATTATGAATTGTGGCAAAGCGATGCTATCGTGCCTTTTCCGCTGATGTTCGGCTGATGGTCTTCTCAGAAACCTTTATCCAGCTATTATTACGCTGGCATCGTTTTCAAGGCTCCACACTGTTAGTCAACGTGCGCCTAAAAACGTGTATTATGAGAGCGAGACCGGAAAATAACATCGAGCGATATGCTCTAGAATAGAAGAATCGGCGAATTATTTCTGGTCTCGTATCTCCTTCTGGCAGGGGTCAATCGAAACGATTGCTCGTTGCCAGCCGGCGGTCATATCTGAGATTGCGCGAACGGGCGCGAGAACACGAAACGTAGGTGCATTGTGTGTATCGACATGGGCGCTCGTATCGTGTCGTGGTTCCGCTTTTAGCCCTGCCAAACGAGAACACGCTTCGCTCGCTGTCGTGCCTGTCGTTGGGCCGCTTCGAGCGAGCTCGTCTCGCGTCGGCGGGTGCCGTTTCAATAGAGGTGCCGCACGCATCGGCGGCGTGCTGCACCGGGGCTGGCTCTGTCGGACGGAGCACGGTGATAAACGGCTCGAACGTGCACGTGGTCTGCACGTTTGGAGGTCCTGTCGCGGTCGTGATCCGAACCGGCCGAGGCGGGTTTTGGGGACGGCGGACGTCGCTCGAACAGCCGCGTTTAGTGTTGGGGGCATGCGTGTAGCGCGTCGGTGCACGCTGACGCTCTTCGGGGTGCCTATCAACGGGGAGGAACTCGGAAATGTCCGAGAATTGTCGAGGACTCGCGAGGAGCAAATTTGCGAATATGTTAGCTCCTGGCGTGTCTTCGCTCCCACGCCTATCTGGAGTGTGCAGGTCGTTTCGACAAAACGTTTGGTTACATAGTCGTTGCTGTACCAGTCATTTCGATTCCATTCGTTTCGGTTCCACTCGCCGCGATCGCAGTCGTTTTGATTCCAATCGTTTCGATTCTTGTAGGTTTTCAGATTGAACTCGTCGGATTTATAAACCGTCGAACATATAATCTTTAAAATAAACGTGCAAGTTAGAAAAAATAAAAACAAACTGCGTCAAAATAATGGGGTTTTGAACGAACGGCCAGACGCGGTGCGTCGGGCGCCGCGTCTTTGAGTTACCGACTGTCGGTAACCGAACGTTTTCATGACGTCACACTGACGTAGTTTCGCTCGGGTAGTAGTGTCATCTCGTTTCCTTTCGCCGTATGACACTTTGTGGTTCCTTTTAACATTCAAACAGCGAGCATTGGGAGGACATCTGTCGTCGACTCGGTTCTTCCAGCCTTCTTCGTGCACGGCGTCCAGCAAGCCTCGGCGCAACTCGGTTATTCCTCGTCGCAATTGCGACCTCGCGCGACGGGCTCTGGCGAAACTAGCAGTATTTCTGGTGTGGGTCCCCGCAGGTTGCTTCACGCGTGGCGAGGCCGACTCGGACGACACGCGCGGCTCGAACAATCTGGGAGCTTCGTTCAAGAAAAGACCAGGGTTTGGTTGAGACATGATAGGATCACAATCGCTTTATTCTTTGTTTGGTAGGCTCCGTTTACCCCCGAGCGGACACCGTGGTAGAAGCAACGTGCCCGTTGGAACAAGGAGTGTCTTATCTTTCGCCGCGTTGATCACGCGCCAGCCAGTAACCTCGCGTAGCAAACGGGGTCAGGTGACGAAATGGAGGCCGTTGATTGGTTGGTGCGGGCGCGTAGTTCCCCCCACACTGTCAGCTTGGGGGTGAACTGAATGAGAACAGCAGGGTCGGGTCGTGTACATAATCAGGCGAGCAGATACGCGTGCACTGCTGCGGCGCTGTCTCTAGGCTGACAAAACCGACGCGGCAGATGCAAGAGGAAACGAAAGTTGGCATAGCAGTAGTGGAATATATGCGCTTTCAGTAGCGTATTTTTTTTTTTTTCGGTTTTCTTCGTGTTGTTGCAACGGGCAAGCTGACTGTGGCGATGCTCGTGTTTTGTGTCGCAGGTTATACAAATGTTTGCCTGGGCCGATAGTGCGACGTTTTGAAGCAGCTTCTTTCTTTGTCATTGGTATTTGCTTTTCCCTGGATAGTAAGCTCAGGCTTCGCTGGCGAGGCGCAGGAGTCTTTTTTTTTTTTCTTTTTCATTTTTGTTACGTACCGGTTTCTCCCCCGTGCCCCGGTGTGCTCTGTCGTCGCTTTCCGATTTAGCACGACCTTCGTCATCACTGTTGTTAGTATTATTAGCTCGCGCGACAGTGCGAGGTGGGCTTGGCTCGACGGTGTCAGTTTTTCTTTCTTTTTCTTCATTTTTTTTTTTTTTTGGGGGGGGGGGGGGGAGGTGCATGGGCTAGATTTGGGGGTTGCGTAAGGCGTTACATACCATGTGTTTATGTATGAAATTCTGAGTGTATATAAATCAAGGGCGCAATGCAATGATTTTAATGTTGAAATAATTGGCAGTTTGCATTTTTTATATTGTTTACGCAAGCCCAAGTGACCAAAAACGCGTCAGCTTTCCCCGAAAAACTGCTATTCTACTGCGTAATCGCAAAGCAAAAAACGAATTATTTGCCGATCTGCAGCCGCCTGTCGGGGACTAAAATGACACCGTCTCTGGGGGATACGCGGAAGTCAACAAAACCTGTCCCTCTCCGCTGCTACACTCGCCGTCAAGCCCCGTGGCGAACCGTCCTTTGTGTCGATCGCTCGCCGCGACCTTAGACGATGCGAATCCTTTCAAAGTCGACAATCGCGGAGGAAGAGGCTAGTCTCTGAAGAGAGGACCCAAGGGGAAACTACGTGAAGCCCCAGAGTACGTCACTCTAAACTCGACGTGGAGAGTTGAGAGGCACTTCGACCTTCGATTTGTTTCATTTTTTTTATTATTTTTTTAATAACTAGCGTTTGCAACAAAATGCGATTAATTTCCGCGGTTAATTGGCCAAAGTCTGAAAATATTTGTACAGCCCCTTTAAACATCTCGTCGAGAAATTCGTTCGACGATTTAGCTAGGGTTGCCCTCTTCACCTGAATGCTGTAGCCATTTCGACAACTGCTCTTCCCACGTTCCCACTACAACGCAGCCAATGCCAAACAAGCTTTTTTTTTTGGTGTGTGTGTTTGTGTGTACGTGTCGGTGCGCGTCCGCTCGTCGGTTCTCTTCCGTTTGCCCCCGATCGTGGCGAATCGGGGTAGTGCGGTCTGTGGTACAGTCGACGATCCGCCCCTCTGCCGAACCGGCCATTGTTTTTTCGGAGCAGACTCGGTTCCCAACTGGGACGTGTCCAGCTTGGCGAGCGGTCCGTTCCATCTAATGCGCGTTTTGTTTACGCGTTTTCTTTTTCTCTTTTTTGGTGTGTCTTGTTTGGTTGATGAACGGGTCTAGGAAGAGCTCTACTTCCGCCTCGTTCTTTATTGCTGCTTCTTCGTCGCTGGTGGCCTCCTTCAGTTCCTCACCGTGTGGCGGGCGCCAGTCGTCCAGTTTTGGGCGGCTGGGTCGGTCGAGGTCAACCGCTGTCTTTTTTTTTTTTTTTTTTATGTTTGTTGTTGTTTACCTTCAGGTCCCGCGCGAGCGCAGGACAGAACCGGTGCTAGGTCAAAGTCCCGAGGCACGCATCCCCGCCGGAAAACAATGGCATCATGAACTCGGCACGCCGTTTTTCGATATCTTTGATCTGACTTTGCGCCCCAATTAATCGGTTGCCTATGTAGTTTGAGCGAAGGATAGCTGGCTGGTTATGTTACCAGAATAAGCAGGAAGCAGCGAAAAGGACAGAGACCCATTTGTGTGCCTCGTTTTGTCTTCATCCTTTTCGTTAGTTTCCGAAAATTCGCATAGATGTCTGCTCGAATGTGTTCCGTCGTGTTTTGACCTACTACTTTAATTTTTGAAGCGGTGTATGCCAATGGTCGCATTCTGCGTGGAACGCGCTCTGGTCATGCCCATAGCTCTCTTCTACGGAATCTCAAACGCCACGCACGCGTCCACAGACCCAATGACTAGGCACTCGTTGCCTGGGTGATAAGCTGCGCTCGTAGGGCTTTGGCGCTTTTTGTTTTCTTCGTTTCCGGGGTTCATGCGGATTTGCGAGTGCCGTGGCCGACTGGTAGCGCCAGGGAACGAAGTTGATACCTGGTCGAACTCGATCCCTGGGCCTCTAAACTCGTCAAACACAAAGGTGGGGCCGAAGTTGACGGAACGCACCGATTGGCCTATCACGACGATGACTTCGCACTTTTTTCGCCGACGTCCATCGGTGCGCTCCGTGAACTTTCGGCTCCAACTTTGTGTTTGACGAGTTTAGGGCCCCTGAACTCGTCAAACACAAAGTTAAAGCCGAAAGCCGGCGAAAATAGCGCGAAGTCATCGTCATGATAGGCTAATCGGTGCGCTCCGTTAACTTCGGCCCCAACTTTGTGTTCGACGAGTTTAGAGGTCCTGGAGGAGGCCCCGTGTGCTTCGTTGTTGTAGTGCGGCAATACGAAGCGATGGCCCTGTAATGGGATCCGGGGATTTCCCCTCATTTAGGGCGAGGAAGTCTTTCCTGAAGGAAATACACGGACGCGGGTATGTTGCCAGTTTGAACAATGACACACTTGCGATGATGTCATATTTCCTGGTTATTTTTGTGCGTTACGAGGTGCAAGGCTCAGCTTACATCAGATTTAACTAGAGTTCCGTGTTTACGGAGCTTTTTTTTTTTTTTAATCTGGAGATTTTTTTGTTTGTGTATGTGTGTTTTTTTTTTCTCTTTTTTTTTGGGGGGGGGGGGGGGGGGGTTACAGATTCGGTGTTACATGGAACCTTAGTTTTGTATATTGAGCATTTTGGATAGTTGCATAAAATAGTATGAGTGTTGGGATTCATGTTTTAATATTTACAGAATTTGACTAAGGTTGCCTTCCTTTCCTTCCTCTTTTCAGTACTGCAATGGAGGAGACTTGGCCGACTATCTTCACGGTGAGTTCTGGCTGTCTGGCACGAGAGGAACGCAAATATTTGCATGTGGTCAGGGGCATCTTTGTCCAGATAAGGGGGACACTTTGTAGCACCTTTTGCAGCCCGCTCCCCATCCTACACCCCCTTCTTTGGCTTGGCCACGCTATCTGTGGGATCCAGTGTTGGGTAATGTACAGATAAAACATATTTGTAGTTAGGTATGAACTAACTGGTAAATTTTGTATTCCGAGTGAATTTAAAATACATTGGCTGAAATGTACTCCAAATAAGCTACAGGTAATGCAACAAACTATCAGAGTAAAGAGTACTTTTCTGAACTCAGTCTTGCTTCTTACATTCTTATTTGTACCTGCCATACCCTTAATGAATTAGAATTCAGTAATAAATTTTGATTGCAGTACTTAGTGATGCAGCCTTTGGGTTAAGTAGTAGAGGCTTGTGGTGATGAACTAAATCGTTTTATCAATAATTTAACGATTTATCACAGTCCAAATTTCAGAAGTTTACTTAGAAGTCAACTACATACTGTATTTACTGCAGAGAGTACTAGGCAAATGTACTCTAAGTAAACAATAAGTATAGAGTGCAACACAGCACAAACAAGTGATCACCTTGTTTTGACATTTTCTTTTATTATTGAAAATGTATCATCAAAATTACCAGTGTGGGGAGAAAGGGCCCGTTTGGCTCCTCAACCTAGGCAATGAAATATCATTCTCATCCGTGCCCCGTCTAAATTCTCATCCATACCGCGTCATTCATACCGTGACTAAATAAACGAAGATAAAAAGTGCCAATGTCTTTTTAATGCTAGTTGCATCACAGAGCATACATAACCCTAAAGCATACAGATAATAAAATCTAGCAGAGTGCTGGGAAAACATTATATTTTCACCTTACGGAATCTTCAATAAAAGTTGCGAGGCTCCAAAATGAAAGAAAGAAACTCTTAATCAACTGCAAACAATTTTCATCTCAATCGATCAATCGCTGGGCGCACCCACCTTCGAGGCTGATTTACGGCTTGAGCATGTGGAACAGGTAGCCTCATAGGTGCATGTAATGGTAGGAGCACTTTCCCTCCATTTACGTGGTCGCTGACATAGCACTGGCCCTCCCAGTGGCCAATGTAATTGCCAGCTTGCTGCCAGACTGGCTCTGTAGGCCTGCCCATCTCACAGCACACCCACTGTAACTTCCCTGGCCCGCACATGTCGCCCTCGCGCTCGTTTGCTAGCCGATTGGAGTGACGCCCTTGGCTGTGTGCCGTTCTGCCCGGAGTAGACACGTGGCCTTGGTGTTCGCTTTGAGTCAACCACCCATAATTGAGGGTTTGCCGTGGCAGCAGCGACGGGAGGTAGGGTTAGCGAGGACCTTGGAAGGGACATACATAAGGCTTTGGTACCTGGTGTTTGTTTGTGTGGAGGAGGATCAGTTTGAAACAGAATTTTTTTTTTTTCCTTCCTCCTCTTGATTTTTATTAGAAAGTGTGTTTCTGTGATGCTCTGTGACCTGTTGGGTAAGGCACTTTGTGGCCGTGACTTCAGTTATTTATTGGTGGGGCCTAATTGTGGCCAACTTTCTGGGATATTCCATGAGATAAAAAGTTTCCAAGGAAATATCGATATTCTACTTGATTTGTGTTCTGTGATACCGAGGCAATTACAGTCCTTGGGAGGGAACATTACAATTTTTTGGCAAGAAAAGCAGAAATTGGTAATTTGTGGAATGTGGCCTATAGCAGTGGCTCTCAAATAGGGTTCAAGCAGACTCGTTAGGGTCCACAAAACCCTCTCAGTCTTTTTGTTGAGTCTAATTTGGAGGTGCCAGCTACTGCCCGTTGTAAAGGGTACAGCCGTTACCATCTATCCATCTATTCATCTTTTTACTTGATGCTTCTCACTTGTCCTGTCTATAACAGTAAAGGATGCCCTTTTCACACTGCACTTAGTGTTCTTACTTTATACCCCCCTCCTCCCCCTTTCCCCTTCCTCCACTGGCATGGGGTCCCCCATCACCTTGGCAGGTCTTCCAAGGGTCCCCGACACATCCGTGCTTGAGAACCACTGGCCTATAGGATTCATTGCAAAGAAACTGTAGAGCCGTGAAGCAAAAACAGTAATCACACATACATACTGTCATCTAAAATATTCCAAGGGAAAATTGCAATGTTTGTTGTTGTTCAGTTGTTGGACATCTGCAATGCATTGATGTCGAAGAAAGTCGGGGATGATTTGTTTTGTTTTTTGTTTTTATTGCCATGGTCCAAATTTATTGTGTTCCTATGATTTACAGCAGTGAGGGCGGTTGTTTGGAAGCTTCAGTTTTACTGTGTACTGCCATTGTCTTTGAGATGTAACAGATTTTTTTTTAAATGAAATTTTACAGTGATGTTTGTTTGACATCTCACCGAAAGGTATTGAGGTGGAAGCTAACATTCTAAAAATCTTTTTTTAATTTTTGTTTTTCATTAGCTGGCAGTTTAGGCAAGGAACCAATAAACAAGCAATGTCTTTTATACTTTGGGTAAATAGTGCTCAGAATAAACTCCTCGCATGGGACATGCATCGGTTTTTATATTCAGATGTGCCTAGTCTTTGCGACGCTAAATACATCACGGAAAGTTGGAATGATAACGTCATGAGGTAAAGAAAGGATCAAATGAAATTTTGTGAATCATCCCCAATGCTCTCTCCCCAACCAAGGACTGGAATAAAGTTGTTGGAAATGAGCATTGTTTTGAGAAAATTTGTTTGTCTTGAAAATGTATATTTCAGTAATCAATAACAGGGTACAGATGCTCCTTCACACATTGATGAGATGAAATATAAAATAGACCTGTGTACCTTAGTTTGAAGGCATCATAAAGCAACAGAATTTGCCTTGCTTAGTTTTATTTATTTATTTTACAAGATACTCTAAGCCAAAATTGTGACCCCAAGCAGGAATGTATATAATTTGTATACAGAGCTACATTACCAGATGATTTGTTTTCATAGAAAGCTTTTTTTTTTTGTTTGCTGGTAGGATTGTGCAGTAAGAAAACGTAAGATTGCATGTAATTTTGTCATAGAATGAGTCATTCTATCATCTCGGTGTTAGCTGATGCTGCATCATCTAGCCCGAATAAATCAATCAGTAAAATCCTGCAGTTAGCTGTTGCAGCATTTGATGATATATCAGGGGCAGAAAGGTAGCTCTTGTTGCATTTTGTAGCTCCAGGAGCTAAATGATAACATTGCCTGTAACCATCATGTAGCATCAGAGGGAGGTTTGTTGGAAAGCACTAGCTTAAAACATCATCGTTAGCTTTTATTGCTAAAGAGATTCTGACACAGCTTCATGGTGTGCCATTTCACGAAGCGCTTGCACAAATGCGCCGGGGTGCTTACAGTTCAGAAGGGGGATGATTTGCAAGCGACCTCGCTTCGGCTCTGCGTTTTCTCCGAGCCACGTAATTTTGTGGGCGGTCGACCGCATTGTCAGCTTAATGTGGGTGGCGGCAAACGTTCTCCTTCCTGTCGCTCTCTCGCGAGCGTTCTGGTAGAGTAGTTCTCAAAGAATTTGCAAAGAAAGGCACCTTTTTGTAAACTCTACTGCTGTTGCCATGGGCTTCCTCTGTGAAACTTGTTTTCTCTTAAGAAAAGGACGACGTGATGAGTGTTTGGTGTTTAAATTCTTTTCGGTTTTTATTGAGAAAAGTTTATAAGCTACAATTTTATTTTCATTGTCTCGGGTGTCCGAATTATCTCGGTTGTCCGTGCTATTTGCATGTATTTGTAGCCATGAGACTGTCCATATGGGTCCATAAGCTGGATGTATTAGAGGTTTTCACATTAGCAAATGATTAGGCTTAAAGGGGCACTTAATTGTAAGTGGACTTTGAGTTCATCTTTTTATGACAATAGTTAAATCTAAGCATCTTAAAAGGTTCAAGTTACAATCACATGTGATATTTATCTTTTTTAAGAGTGCTACCGAACCTTACAACGCACCCTCCTTTTCTGCTACTTATTGCAATGTTTGGTTGCAGTTTTACTACAAAAAAAAAAAAAAACCATGCGATATTTATAATTCTTAATTCTCGAAGATGCCTAAAGTGCATATATTGTGTTGCCACCGTAAAAGGTAACTTGAAGATTCGCTTTAATTCCCCTTTAAATCATTGCTGCTTTTAATAGACGACCAAATTACAGTAGTTAAAATAAAATTACTATGCAGCCCTGTTAGTCTGTGTGTTCACCTTGTTTGCCTTCAGTCTGAGTGTGGTGCTACAACTGAGCCCCACAATGTTCCCTTCTCTCGTCTCACAACTGCAGACAAGGGCACCTTGAGCGAAAACACCATTCGGCTCTTTCTTCGGCAAATTGGTGAGTTAATGCCGCCGTGATCGCCGTTGAGACCGCTGAGACATTGGTGGCCTTCCTAAGGGTCAGCTGCCCAGCTTGTTTATTTTACTCAGTCCTTGTGGGAATGCCGGGTGGCTGGTTTCTGGAGGTCAATTGGGTCATACTGTGGATGGTCTGACTAAACGATGCAGACAAGTTTGAAAAGGTGGTTTTGGCAGGGCCTTCATCAGGTGCTAATTTATTTGACAATGCCTTGGAAATGATAAAAAAAAGAAAGTAGCAACTGCTATGAAGGGTATTTTATGTCAACTGTACTTTGTATTGGTGGTGAGAGTTTCAAAAGGTTTCAAATGCACTGGGCATGAAGAATTTTTTTAGATGTATTCGATGCAATAAAATTTCACAAAAAAAAATGTTTCTTAAAGCTAGCTATTTTAGGGTAGTTAGTTGCGCTACTTGATGCCCAGAAGGGGCAGGCTTTCCGGGGGTGTAATGCCAAAATAGTGTTTTCATGGAAATTGGCCTAGCGATAGCTTGCACTTACTGCATAAACTCCATGAAGAGGTGTAGTAGTTGGGGGCACTGATTCTGTTGCATCGACACGTGCCCAGCTTATTGATGTATGTCCATCACATGTTTGGAAAGACAGGACTTTTTGAGTTTGAAATGTATAAGTACTAGTGTATGCTAACTTAGCTGCAAACTACCCATTATTCAGCTTATCCCGCAATTCTGCTGTTCACTGCTGTTTGCTAACAACAATTGTGAGTCTGCTCTATTAGGTGTGTTGACTCCCTGGCATAGGAAATAATTTGTACTTTTAAAACTTTTGTTTATACTCCCAAATAACCTCTCTTGCATGGGGCAGGGCCCACCCTTTTTAACATTCTAAGCTAGTTTTGGATACTAGCAGAATGGCTTATGGTAGAAGTGGAAAGTGATGTCTATTGTACTGAGATACATCTTTACTTCCTTACTATAGTTGGTGACAACTCAAGAAAGTAGGGCGAGGGAAAGGAAGGTTGAAGAGGAGGAAATGGACACAACACTGGTGAGGGGAGGGGGAATCCCCCTCACCTCAACAGCAGTGCATCCACCTCCTCATCTCCCACCTTCCTTTCCCTCACCCTACCTTCTTAACCTGCAACGTATTATAGGGATATTGACATATTAACGGCATTAGCGCACACGTATGAGGAAGAGAGAAGGGACAGAAAAGAGCGCTACTCACAACTGTATTTACAGAGATGAAGAAAAGAAAGAACATCGTCCAGCTCCCCATAAAGATGAAAAAGGAAGAAGAGGAAGCAGAAATATAAAACAGGAATATAAAACACAAAGTCGGGTGTTCCCTCGCGCGCACAGGCTTAATGCACTGGTTCTTTGATTAAACCCTAAAACCTTTTTTGGCTGTGCCTTCGTTGTCGTGGTGCTGGGTGTGTTTGCCTCAGTCTTCGCTCGCGCCTCGACTGAGGCAAACACACCCAGCACCACGACAACGAAGGCACAGCCAAAAAAGGTTTTAGGGTTTAATCAAAGAACCAGTGCATTAAGCCTGTGCGCGCGAGGGAACACCCGACTTTGTGTTTTATATTCCTGTTTTATATTTCTGCTTCCTCTTCTTCCTTTTTCATCTTTATGGGGAGCTGGACGATGTTCTTTCTTTTCTTCATCTCTGTAAATACAGTTGTGAGTAGCGCTCTTTTCTGTCCCTTCTCTCTTCCTCATACGTGTGCGCTAATGCCGTTAATATGTCTAACTACCAACTAGCCCAGTTATCAACCCTTTTATAGGGATATTGAATTGTCTGGGCGTTAAATAGTGGCCTTCGGTGCTGAAGAGCACCCCACAGAGGATCTTTTCATAGTGTGAGGCCTTCTAACATTTATCAACAGCAAGCAGATTGCCCTCAGCAACAATCGACATGTTGACTGTGCAAGGAGTGATGTCTATTACTTTGCGTCTAAGGTTTATTCTACTAAAGAATTGTACCAGGGATTCTACGCTCTATTCATGTATGTTGTAGGCTTCTGCGTCATCCCAGTACAATCGAGTGGACGACTGCTGCGAGGCTAGGACATAGGTGACTTGCGACTTGCTTTTTTCAGCCGGAGCCATGCGTGCACTGAATGCCAAGGGCATAGTGCACAGGGACCTCAAGCCGCAGAACATCCTGCTGTGCCACGGGCCGAGGCCCAAGCCTGCCCCTGCCGACATCACGCTCAAGATCGCCGACTTTGGTTTTGCTCGCTTCCTTCAGGATGGCGTCATGGCTGCCACCCTCTGCGGCTCGCCCATGTACATGGTGCGTGGCAGTGGGACCCGCCGGCATTATTGCATTGGCATGGCTGAAAATAGCTAACCTTTAAGGCACGGAGGCAGGAAGCTTCTGGATTCAACATGATGCCACCAGAAGTGAAACCAGAAGTGTTGAGGGACACGCCCCCCCAGCGGTGACCAAAACCAAGAGACGCTATTGTACGAAAAGGAGAGCTGACTTGGCGCTGTATTGGTCGCCCTCACCCCAGGCCCCTGGCATGCTTTTAGGGAACTAACAAAAAAATTTCAAACCATTTTTTTTTTTTTAGATTGGTGACTTTGAGGTCCAAAGCTGTGGGAAGCACTGGATTAGATATTGGTTATGAACAAGTGGAGCCGTGGCTTAATTTTGGAAAATGAAACATATAAAGAAGATTTATGCATTTTACACGAAAACTATTTCCATTAGGGACAAGCTCCCCTTCATAGCCCTCTACCTCCTCACCGAGCATTACAAGCACAAGAGAAACTCCTTTGTGACAGTGCTACCGAGCAGCTTTCAATTTGATGCTCATGTTTGGCTAAGAAGGTGCCCACTTTGCATTATATTTAATACAACTGATGTACAGACTAATCACTTTTCAAGATTTTCCTGCTTTAGAGGGCCCAGCCTCAGTTATGGCCCTATTCGGCTACGCAAGTTCTATTAACCCTTTAAGTGCCATGGACGAGCTCAAGCTCGTCCAGGGGGTTTTTCGGTAGTCCTCTATTCCACAGACAAGTTAGGCTCGTCCGAGTAGTTTTGCGGCACGAATCATAGATGGCAGCACTCGTTTTAGTTGGCAAATATTTTTTTTTCTCCTCCGCTGATTTTTACGCAATAATCTTTTCAAATTTTATGTGTAATACTAGAGGAATAAAACTTCAAAATAAAAAAAAGATGGCACTTTTAGGTTACTTAAGGGAACAAAAAGTGGCACTTGAGGGGTTAAATGAACACTCGCATTAGACCATGCAGGCTGAATTGAACACGTAGGTCTTTGCTTTAGCTTTTTTGAAGGAAAGATGAAATCGGTTATTCTAAGGTACATTCCAAAAAATTAGAGCCCACACATTCAAAGATGGCCACTCTTGGATGGGGGTCTTAAAGGGGCACTCAAGTGGATTTTGAGGTTGGCTGTTTATCGTCATAACTCAACCTATGGGCTCTAAGCATCCTAAAAAAAAAAATTGCATTCAAGGGCGTCCGATTTTTCTATTAAAAATTCAATCATTGAGTGTGCCACGCCCCCCTTCTGTGTCGTGATGCAAAACGCTAGGGGACGCCACCGGATGGGAAGGCAGCAGGGGACGACATGCGACAGCCAGTTGCAAATGACGACTTCCCGTCTGACAAAATTTTCGAATACACGCTTAGTCGAAAAATTGGTCTGCCGGGAAGCCGTCGCTTGTGACCTGCTGTTGCGTGCCCTCCCCTGCCCTTCCGTCCTCTTGCGCCCTCTGGTGTTCTGCGTCACGAAGCAGAAGGAGGGGCATGGCACAATCTTTGATTGTATTTTTAATAAGGAAATTGGTAGCTCTTGAATGTTGTTTAGTTTTTTTTTTTAATAAGCTTAGAGCTTGTAGATTGAGTTATGACAACAAATTTATGATCTCGGAATCCACACGAGTGCCCCTTCAATGGTGGAAACGCAAACGTGTGCATGGACGACAGCAGCCAACGGAACTTGCATTGCCGGTGTTGCCAGTGTGTCGAAGCCCTCTCCCGTTGACCCTCTCCCCCCTCCTGAAGGGACTTTTCCTCACACTCTCGCAGGCACCCGAGGTGATCATGTCGCTGCAGTATGACGCCAAGGCCGACCTCTGGAGTATCGGCACCATCGTGTTCCAGTGTCTGACAGGGAATGCACCGTTTAGGGTGAGGGGCTCCCCTTCAACATGCCTTTTATACTGGCTGTTTGGGACAAAACAGAACCCTGTTTCTTGGCCTGCATACATAAACTATGAATCGCACAATGCTGATACACTGTGAAAATGTGATGCTAGCGGGGGTGGTAGAAGGCAAAAGTTTAGGAACGTGGCATTACCGGGATCAAAACATAAAGGAGAAAGGCTGAATATGAGCCGATGTTCACCTAAGCCTGATGTTGCCAGAACAAGAAGTGACATTGTGGACACATGCTGGATTTATGCCCGTGACAAACACACTTGGCAGCAAGCTTTTGTAACGCTGCCCCGACGCCTGCGAGACAGTCGACTCTGTTTGTCTGTTCAAATTCTGACCGACGTCGTCACAGTCTTACAATGCCCAGCTTTGGTTTAGGTGACTGAGGTGTTGGTTGCATCTGAGTGGTGCCGAGGCAGTGTAAAATTATCTTTAATTTTCCATCGGGGAGTCGCTCATGCTGAATAGTGCGGGTATGATTACTACTGGTGTCTAAGAAAAAGAAACGTAGAGGATAAAGTCGGGCGGCCATTCTGTGTTGGTTAGAAACTATTCATTTCGGAAAAGAATTTAGTGGTGACCCAGGTACTTCCTGAGCGTGTGAATGGATGATAGGCCAAACTAAATGCGGGGGGAGGGGGGGGGGATTACAGCTGAAACAATTTAGGTTATCTGTGCCCATGCTCTCTGTTAATTTAGGACATTAACTGAAAGGTATTTTCTATTCCTTTAAATATATTAACTGGAAGGTTTTTTCTATTCCTTTAAATATATAAGCACTCTTTCCCAAAGAGCAGAATACTCAAGAATTGCTGATCAGATGGGAGTGTACATCCATACAGAAATAGGAATGAAAATTAGGAATATTAATATTCCTTCTCTCGTTTGACGCAGGCCCAGACACCACAAGCTCTGAAGCAATTCTACGAGAAGACAACCAATCTAGTGCCAAGGTGGGACACATGGGGCTCTTTTTTCTGGGCATGACATCATGATTACTTTCCTTTAAATACCTATGTGAAGTTCCCCTAGTGACTTGTCTCAGATATGTATAGTTGAGATGATGTGTGTCGTTAGGTGGCAGGCCCTCTCCAGTGTTCTGTTGCCCTGCAGCAGTGGTTAAGGGCGCTGGTACTCGCATCTCTAGAGTACTTGGCCTGAGACTTGAGTACTCCAGGGCTCTGTCTTAGTTTTCTCAAAAGGATGGCCGACGTCGTGTAGTGCAGGAGCCATGCATTTACGTAACTCTAATTTGTTTTTTATGTGTCACATCATTGACGAGCCTAGATTGTAGAAGACTTCATTTGCTATTGCAAACTGGATAAAATTCGTGCAGAGGTTGGGCCTAAAAAAAGTTGCTGGGTGCTCCTAAGATCAAAAGCTCTTTCGGTGGTGACACTTGAATAAGAATGCTTCAAAATACATAGGTGACTGATAATTACCATTTCAAGTAGAGCACATTTAAAATACCAGTGATTAGATATATCGAGAAAGCCTTCCCAGGATGAAAGTGACATATTTTCTTTCTTAAATGCCTCTGCGGCATAGACGTTTCTTTCTTCTAGATAATCGTAGAGCCCATCAAGATTTTCTCCAGTTATTATTAAATATAATCCTTTCAGTGTTTGCTATTCGACTAGACAACATAGCAAATAAAAGGTTTACTGAGGTAGTTGGCAGTTTTGCTGCTTTGAGTCTTGCGTACAAATCTTAGTGTTGAAACTTTTGTGGTGCCCTTAAAGACATGGGTATGCTGGCATGCATGACAGGGTGAAGTGCAACAGGTCATGAGGCTTTTTGCAAGCAGATCCCACAGAGGGGTGACCGCTACGTGTTTAACTGTGCATAACATTTGGTTCTGGGTGTGCAATTAGGTACATTCCATCCGAATACAAAATCGAGGACAAAGCTCTTGTTATACCTCCGCCAATCATTCTTCAGGATACCATCTGGAACGTCTCCCGAGTTGCATGATCTTCTCATTAACCTACTCAAGAAGAATGCAAGAGAGAGGATGGACTTTGGTAAGTCTTGCTTGTAGTCACTCTGTAACGGAGGAATATCTGTTTCTAATTAACATATTGTTGTTGTCTCGCAAGAAGGCGCAATCACTAACAGTCGCTTTGTGTTTTTCCCTCAATACAGATGCTTTCTTCTTGCATCCTTTCCTGAAGCGAGTGGCCAAGCTCAGTGAGTGAACATTCCTTTGTAAATTTTTTTGTAGATCTCTGCCAGGGCGCTGATAAGCCGGTCTGATGTCACTTCGAATAGCTTCTGAGTGCTAGTGTAACTTACAGGAAGTGGTGCCGAGTCTAAAGTTTGTAATTAACCCTTTGACGGTTGACTTTTTTTTCTTCTAAAATATGATTCCCAGTTGTTGGATTTTGTTTCAAAAACAATAGTACAAAGAAAGGGTGCATGCGCAGGTTTTTTTCTCGATTATCTAGCGGGAGCATGTATAGTGCTTGCAAGCTGTTTCAGTTTAGAAGCACAAATAGAAATATTGAAGGCAAGAAGTTGTCACATTTCTTCCATTTGATTTTATTTGGTTGCGTCCACTTACGCGACATTGCAGTGATCTCAAAGTTCGAACTGAGGTACTTTACGGGGCTTCTTTATTAGATGGTAAGTTCTCACCCGCTGAGTTCGATCCTCAGAAGCATCGTGAGACAGCTCGTGCCACCTCGTGCTCTGCTCATGCAGACCTTTGGCAGGTTTGTCGCTTATGCAGAGACACTACGGTTTCCACAATGCATGGCGACAGCGGTGGCGTAATGAAACTTGTTGTCTGTTGCCACTACCACGAAAGCGGCAGACATGTGAACCAACCATCTCACTTTCACAACGTGCGAAGGGGGTCTAATTGCAGAACTATAAATAGCCCTAGGAAAGCGAAACATTGTGCAGATGTTACATTTATAGTCCGCCCTAGACATAACAAATAGCAGCACTTCCCGCAGTGCACATAATTTTGCATATATGTGGGTGCCTTGAAATGCGTAATCGCCGCCATACATGTACGGCGATGACCGTAGAAAGGTTAATGGTAAAGGTAACAGTGAAAACGGGGAACTGATTGGTTATTACTGGCATGCTAAATTATCTGCTGCAAGAAGTATTCCCCGTTACACATGAGGCAGCCTAGTAAAAGCATATTGGAGTTGTTTGAGCCAATATTACTGGTGCACTTGGAGAGAAGGATTTCTGGCAACTTCTATTGTAAGTTGAAAGATGAAATCTCGTCAATGAAATATTCCAGCAGAATTGTTTTCTCTTGCCCATTTTTTGTCTAACTGGCCAGCTTAACTGCTTCATCAGCTTCGTAGGCATGCTCGCACTAAGGTCTAGACAGTTTAGCTGGTATTGAGAAAGGAAGCTTGGAAACCGATTCTGCAACTGGGGAACATTTCGCTAAAAAGCTAGGTGCTTCTCAACAAAATTTTTTTATATCATTCTCGACATCTGCGGCATTCCCCTAAATGATACAACAAATAAAAGGGCTAAGTAGGACGTACATAAACATTTTGCGTGCATCCTAGCTATGAAGAGCACTCTTTTTGTTTGTTCCTCTTATTTGTCTTTTTTTTTTCTTTGTGCCATTATTCTCTCCAACTATGCCAGACCAACGAGCCGGAATGTATACTCTTCTAAATCATAAACACCCTATCTGAACGAAAGATGTTCACCGCCATGGGTTTTCACAAAGGTAAACATCTGTAGAACACCAGGGTGCACAATTTATACCACTGTTGGTTCCGATTCCCGCTGACCTAAAATGAAAGAATTTCTAGAGTACAGGTTTAACAGTTCCGAATGGTCGCGATTAACCTTTATCGTTGTAATGAGCCACAGTAATTGTCAGTGTCTTCCCGTGTCACACAATAATGTGAAATCACATAATAATGTGATTTTAAAACTTACTCTCCTCTTATCATACTCTGGCCCCGTGGGGTTTTTCCTTAAAATAAATGAATAAAACGAATGTGCAGGCTCTCCCATGCCCGTGCCCTCGCGCCGTTCGGCGTCCCCTGAGGCCTGCGGTCCCGCCCACTCTGCCACGCCCCCTGCCTGCGGGGGCTCTCCCCTATCGGGGCACCTGCCCCCGTCCCCGCAGGGCTGGTGCGGGGAGGAGCCCGCCCTGGCGGCCTCTCCCGTCCACGCGGCCTCCAAGAGCCCGGCCTCCTCGTCCACCCCACCCGAGGAGCAGGACTTCGTCATGGTGCCGGCCCCCCTGTACCCGGACTACCAACCGGGGCGGTGGCAGTCGGTCGACTCCGGCAGCGGATCCTCCAAGACCACCGTGGCTGCCACCCCGGCCATGGGCGCTCAGGTGGGAGTTTGCGTCAATGCATGGACAATGAAACAAAAAGAGTTTGCTTTTTTCTAAATTTTTTTGAGTGTGTAGTAACTTTGAAATTCATCTAAATACTGTTTTCGTAAAAGCGCCGCAAGGAGACGCTGTTGCATTTTGCATCCCCGCAAACTTCTAGTCGGATGAGAGGACAAGCAATCTCGTCGTAGAACTGCTCCTTGCAGTATTTACTAAATATTTCTCGGCCAGTTCTTCTTCAGGTGCTTAGCTAAAGAATCGATCAGTGAGGGATTCGTTGGTGATTTTTTTCATACTCTCATAAGACGACGGATCACCTCTTATATGTTTAGGGTGACCATATCCCTCAAAGTAGAAAATGGGACATCTCAGCGGGAGTGGAGGGGGAGGAACACAGATGTGTTTTTTCGCCATTTTCGAAAAATAGTGTAGTGTTGCCAATCGAAATTCTACATGCGTGTTATATCCAGTAACTCAAAAATATATTTCTACACAGGCGTCTTCGCTAGAGAAAATGTGTTTGTGGGCAAGAACAGTTCTAAATTTTACTCTCTGGTTAAACATTTTAAAGTACCTACGGTTATTTTTGTAAATTATACTTGTATAGTTTCGATTTGCTTCAACTCGCTTGGTGCCAATTTCGAAACTATGCACTTCTGCAAAAACAGAACATGGTTCTTTATTGGGACAAAAAGACGGGACAGCAAAAGCGGACCTACAAAAATGGGACTGTCCTGGCCAAAACGGGCCGTCTGCTCACGCTATATATGTTGAGTAGCGCAGCGCAAGGACCTTGCTAAGTCTCTGAGTTGGTGATTTCTGTAGCACTATTTCCTAGAAATGGGTAGCATAAACAGGTGCAGAAGGCCTCCTGAAATGGAGTGACTGGAAGTCTCTTGGTAGACAAGAGACTGCTTGTGTTCGTAAACATTAAAAAGGTCTACTGTCGAGACCGGTTATAACAAAGTCAGTTATAACGAAATAGCGGCTACAGCGAAGTGATCACGATTTCCAATTCCCTTTTCCACTTCGTTATAACCAAAGTTGGTTATAACTAAATAGCGGATATAGCGAAGTAATTTGCTATTCTCGTTTACTTGATTATAAGCGGTCTCAACAGTATACAAAAATAATTTTAAAAAAAGCATTTGTGAGGAAGTTTGGTAAACTAAAAAAAAATTAAATGTATCCGTCCCACGGATAAAGGTCGGAGTGTGTGATGGAACAGTGGATATTTTTTCCCTCCGAATAAGTTGTAATTATGATAATTCATTGCTTTCTCGTGATGCCTTTTCATTCTGTTCTGCGGATCTCACGTAGGCCAGACCCATAACGCCTTAAAAGCGCCGATAAAAGGCCAACTTGAGTGTGCTCGGCCAAGAAATGGGACTTCAAACTGGGCCAAGGCATTTCGAAAGTGGGTGCCCTACATTCACTTCTCTTCACCTTCGCTGACAAACTAGACTACGCTAGACTTTGCTATTAGCCATTAAAACATAAGAGATCGTTCCGATCACTTTGATAACAATACCTGGCACTCTTCCACGCATGCATCGTTTCATCATCCGTCATCGTTATTGGAGGTGTCAGAGCGACCTACTAAAACTCCTTATTGTTCGGCAAAATGAAAGCGAGGAGGAGAGGGGACCGTGCGTATATAACCCGGCTGCCCGAAACAATTTTAGACGTTCACTTTCTTCCCCAAAGGCGGAGGGGGGATCCCCGCGGCCTTCGTTCCTGGCGGTGCGAGCCCTGGAGCGCAGCGGGGCCCTGGGCGTCTCCTCATACCGCACGGAGCCCATCCCGGTGCCCTCGCAGAAGCTGGCCTACGAGCAGATGCAGCGCAGCCTGGGTCGGGCCCGCAGCTGCGGCTCCTCTTCCTCCTCGGTCGGGGGCACCGCCCTTCCCCCTTCGCCCGACGAGGGGCCCCCCAGGTCGCCCAAGGTGAGGAAGGGCACCTTAACAGTCGGGGCCGGTTCGCATGGGTCGACCGAAAAGGGCGACCGTCGAGCCGACGGATCGAGCTCGAGCACGTTTGTTTTCTACGAGCTGGTAACCAGAAAGTAAGCCATATTCCTTCGGCCGGCTGTACTGTAACAGGCTGTTAAAGAGTAACGGCCTCGCTGAATTACTACGTCGGCTATTTGCATCCGAGTGTAACAAAGTGTTCTGCAACCAGTTGTAAACACTTACAAACACGTTGGTGCTGTCTGTTGAGGATCCGCTTATATTTCATTTCTTATGCTTCATTCTTTCACCATGGTCTTAAAGTACTTGTGACAGTGGTATAAGTGACCATTTCTTATAAACGATGCGTAGATTTGTTCACGGAATTACCGCAAAATCTTTAGTTTAGTTGTGTGCAGTTCCGAGGCTACTCGTTAGATGGTACCAGTGTGCCATTATATTCTGTCTTCGTAAATGGCTGCAGGCGGTCGCGACACACTCGGCATTCATTCAAACTTGAGTGTGCGAACCAGTTCTTGAGACGTTGGCAAGAAATTTAGATGTGTCTTACTTCTATGGACAAGATGGAGAGACAGAGAATGGGTGGCATATTTTGAGCTCTTCCCACAATAGACTTTTTCCGGAATTCAGTCTGACCACTTTGATCACTATTATCATCATCTGAAAACGCCATATGTGCTATACTAATGGCGGCCTTCTGTTTACTGATGAAGGAAGAAGTTGAAGATGCTCCTAAGCAGATGATTCGAGGTCCTATACATTCTAGATTTTAGCGCGAAGTGAAGCAGGAATTGGACGTAACAGCTGCGTAAGCGTTCATTTTTAACTCAGTCCCAGTCAATCTGTTAGTAGCACTCACTCGGCTTCAAAGACCCTTGATGTATAGGACTTTATCAAGGCGCCTATGTGGGTTGGCGCTTCGTTTCGACTGGCTGCGTTTGTTTTGCCATCGACACTATAAGAGACTGAAAAATAATCTTAGTGAAGTGCACATTCTCGTTTACCGTTGACCTTTAAGTGACGGTGCCCCATTAAATACTGCAGACCACAGGTTCATTGCCGCCATTAGTATAGTAAAAGGTAAACTGCCATTTGAGTCACCAGATGGCACTGAATTCCGGAAAGGGTCTATTGTTTTGAGCAGCTTATGCTAAGGTTTTTTTGCAGCGGTGCAAGTACACGTATACCAACTACTGCCGCGCTAACCGAAGCTGCTCCGCTAGTGCAGGGGATAGCGTATTATTGGATTTCCGAGCAGGCGGTGGGCAGTTCGATTCCCACCGAGGGAATCAAACAAAACTCTTGCAAAAACTTCTGGCCGTGTTGTCATATTGTCGTTCAAACGTTTTGTAATGCTCTAGGCTTGGAAGTCAGCCCTAAAGCACATTATGTGTTAAAGCAATTTACTGAGGGGTGGGTGTAATCAAGAAAATTTGGGAGCCTTCTTTCAGAATTAATGCCTTGCACGTTGCATTGTGACTGGAGCAGTAGTTGACGCCAAGGAGAACTACCGAGGCTATGCAGTTTTCGACGTGAATTAGTCTTTGGGTTGGTGCGTTTCGAGTCACCAGAGTCTGACGTTCGTCTCTGCGCACATTCTTTTGCACCCGTGGGCCTCTCAGCTGATGCAAGTGGAGCGCAGGGATTCTGTGGGCTCCAACTCAAGCGACCTGGGACGCAGGACCCCTGACTTTGCCAACATGTCCCCGCCCAACGGTGAGCGGTGCACTTCTGCATGAACCGATCGGACGGTTTGGATGCACCGGTGCCCACATGCTTGCGAAGGGAGAGGAATTGACCAGTCCTGCTAGCTTGTGGGAATAAAGAAACCGGTCTTTGTTCCACCTTTTGTTGTTTGCGTGAATTTGAGCATTTCGGAAACGAGGTTGGGAAGCTTGTTTTGTAGGGGACCTTGTTTTGTGTCCGAAGGACACATTGCAGGCACTGTCGAAAGAGAAACCCCGTTAAAAAATGTCCGCTTAAAACTTTAGCAGTGAGGGGTGGGCTGAGTGCAAACAAAAACGAGACAACCTTTTTGTTTTTAGTTGCAGTTATAATTATTGATCTGTTTTTCTAAACTTGAAAACATTGTAGGCACATTGTCATGGCCCCTTTTTTGTCAAAAATATGTCAAAAAAGGTTATAATTCTACAGAAAGCCAGCCTCCTTTTCCCAAAAGAAAGAATTGCGGTGCCTAAGAGGTGCCTAAAAGAGGTATTTGACACCACTCTTTAGATGCCGCATCGAAGCAGGACCATGACATTGTGCCATGGCAAGCGTGACAAAGATGGCTCGCCAGTCGGGGGGGCGTTTTTTTCACCCTCGTTTCAATTGCCATCGCCGTAACGTGAGCTCGCGCACGGTGCCAATCGTCGACCAATCTGTCTGTGTCTTCCCCCGTGCCCGCAGTCCAGTTCCACATTGGCACCCCCCCAAGCGGCGGCCGCAGGCGCCACCTGAGCGGAGGCACTCCCCCCAGGGTGAGGCACGGCATCCCCTTGCCCACCGTGGGGTCCCCGCTGCGTCGGCACGGTGAGCGGCACAATACTTGGCCCTCCTTCCAAGCGAGGAGACCGTACAAACGAAGCAGTTGTCCCTGATGTCAAGAATCACGTGAACCAAACTTAGAAAAGAAAATGATTTGCACAATCCTTTCAAAGGGCCATTGTGCCACCACAGTCACGCCATACTTCGGCTGTTCTGCGCGAGGTTCTTGGAAGCATCCAATTTAAGAATAAAAAAAAACCTAAATTTCCAAATTAAAAAAAAAAAAAAAAATCAGTTTTAGGTTTTAGGAATTAATTATATTCCCTTACTCTAAATTTGATAACCATATGCCAAATAGTTATGTTGAAATAAAATATTTTCAACACATTATGAGGCAGTAACAAAGTAAAGGAGTTCAATGTTTGAATGCACTTTTCTCAGTTCCACTTTTTGCTGCAATTTCATACGAAGGAATCTTTTGTTAGAAGGTAAAATTATTCCGGTATCACAATCAAGATGCTTTCGGAACTTAAATTTACTGGGGAATTGGGCTATCTACTTCATATTGTTTTAAGTTGAAGTGCTCATTGAGAAAAATTTTTTTTCATAAATTGACATAGGAGAGATATGCATCTCATTTTTTGAGGTAATTCCTCTTCCTGAAATATTTACATATAAGTTTGAAAAACTAGATAGCTCGAAGTCCCGCATCTCACACTTTATATTCATGCAGTCGAAATGGTGCTTAATAGCTTCATTTGCATATCATAGATTTCTTAACGAAGAGTGACACACGTAAACTAGTCTTAGAGAGCTGAAAGTTTGCAGAATGCAAACTTTCAGCTCTCTAGGATGTTGAATCTCCCCTGCAAATTTTATTTCGATCACTTGAATAGTTCAGAAATTAAATCTTTAGCCAGTGTCCCCCTTAAACGCGCGAGTCGTTACTCGGCAGGGAGTTGTTTGGTGCGGCTGATTTGTGACAGCCTCTGCCAGCAACAAACTGTCGAAGCGGTGAAGCATGAAGGCAGTGGAAGCTGGTAGGAAGAACTTAAAAAGGAATCTTCTGAAAACTTCAAAGTGGGCTAAGTAACATTTTTCTAAGGGACTTTGCTTCTTCGGGTTGTGAAGAAGCCAGGTTCGTTAACAATACATCTCCTGCCAAGCTTGTGTGTCCACGAGGTCCCCTTCCGAAACTACTCTTATGGTAAACGCTATAGTCGGTGGCAAAACAAGAACAGTAGGGAAAGGCTTTCATTGTTTCAGCACCGGCGCAAACTTCCTACTTTCAATGACAGATTCGAGCGTGCACACGCAACCGAAGCGCAGCGAAAGGCGAGAACGGGTTCCGGAGGTGGGGTGTCTGAAAGAGATGCTCTGCTGTTCACATTCTCTCGGTGCTTTCGAATAAACTAACTTCTCAACGGGGTGGTCGCGTAAATGGTGGTCCACTTGCAGCAAACTGCTGACGCATCGTACAGTCGTTGTGTAACCGGCACGTACGTATGTCGCAAGTTGCTTCCGTCATGCTGACTGAGCAATCGCGTTGCGTGTGCAGTGTGCGCGGGCAACGCCAACCAGCTGGCTGGGCTGGCAAGCCTGGCGTCTGCGGGGGCCAACGCCAACCAGGTGCTGTCCCCGATCCTGGGCTCCCCCGTGGGGCTAAGGGGCCTGGACAACCTCAACGGGGCCCCAGCCCAGAACTTTGCGGTCCGGGCCATGACTCTGCCAGAGATGGCCAGGGACCCCTGTGCAGCCGGTGAGGGGCAGGCCGCCGCAAAACGTGGCGCGTAACGTCGTCGTGCACAATGTTTTATTCAGGAAGAATCGCTTGGCGTGACTAAGCGATTAAGTGATCTATTGGCAAGAAACAGGTGCGCGCCAATCTAAGCAGATGGGTAAAAACCCTTGAGCTAGAGCATCTGCCAGCCTGCCGCGCTTAGAGTCCGAAGAAACCCACTCTAGAGAAAAAGCTTCTGTAAAGTTCCGAAAGAATGCCCACCCAAAATGAAGAGATAAATGGTGAAAAGCATAGGGTGGGCTATCTTTGGGGATGGCGCAGCAAAACTTCATAAAAGATAATCTGCTGAGAATTGGCATCTCACGGGAACGAATATCGCGGATGCAGCAAATTCAAGTTTCATGGTGCAGTAAACATGCGGGAACCCGCTACAAACCTGCTTGTCACGGGAACCGATATTGCGTGCGCAGATCACGGACAAAAAAAACCTGGAACCCACCATGAACTTGCTCGTCATACATGCCGGTATAGCAAATTGCGCAGTTGATACGATTCCCGGCGGGAATCGTATCAATCGTGACGTCCAGCGGGGATTGGGGAGGGCAATGTTTCGGAATTTTTATGTTACAGATATTTAGCCAGAAAAACAGGATGGGCAATCTCTCGGGGGCGGGCATTCTCTCTGAACTCTACGGTAATGCGATGATAATGGTTATGATAGGAGAGGGGAAGACTGAAAGAGACAAATGGGTGAAAGTTAGGATTACGTCGCAGACGACGCACCCGGCGACACTTGGGTTGCAAATACTCTACAGAGTTCCCAAGACTCCTCGTGCGACGTTGGTAGAGGGCTGCGAGCAGTCAGCGTTAGGGTCTGTAAGTCTAGTGGCAGCAGTCGGAAGAGATTAGCCGTGTCGAGCAGTCCGGCCACGGAGAAGCTCTGGCCGTCCTGACCTTCTGCCGAGGCGCTGGGCCCGCCGCGTTGACTTCTGGGGTGCATGAGCGTGCTGCCAGGGAAACAGCACTCGTTCTGCACGTGGTATGACCTCGTGCTCCAAGATGCATGCGTCGGAGAGGGTTGTGCTTGTTTGCCTAAAGGTGGTAAGGGCTTATTTTGATCATTTGAAAACTAGTGCGGTCTTAGAAGTCCACATGTGCATTCTACTTTGCCACATTTGGCTTTGCCATGCATCTCTCTTGTGAGACTTTCAAACAGGATGTTGATTGCTTGTTGTTTCTTGTGTTCAAGAAGTGTGTCCCCCCGAAAGCATTTTAGTGCTATTTCATTTTATTATTATTTTTCTTGGGGCCTGAAGGCATCAGAGAGGAGTAGGCGCTGTAGCATACATATAAGAGTGAAAAAGAAAAAAAAAAGAAAGCAGAAATACAAAAATACAAAGTTAATATGACACATTAATTAACAAATTAGTAATTCTAATTCTAAAATCAGTAGTGTTAGTAATTGAAACTATGAATGCAGGAAGGTGTTTCCAATCAATTGAGGTTTGGGGTAAAAAGGAGGCATTAAAAGTAGACATGCTGCAATTTATAATTCTAACTTTTAGTTGATGATTGTTGCGTGATGATATGTAAGATGGTTCTGAAAACAGTGCTCAGTGAAGCGTTGGGTTAGAGTGATGAATGAATGGTTTCAAAATTCAGAATCTCTCGAGGGTCCCGCTTTTTATTCCAAAGTTCTACATCGAAAAGTGGGGCATAAATAAGCCATTATCGCCCACCTATTAACCCTGACTTTCCACATTTCAAGGAGAGGAAAGTAACGCTTCAATAAAATCGCATTGATTTACAGGACGTTCCACAGTTGGTGCGAAGTGAAGTGCCAAACTTTAAAGACTCCTTACAGTGGGACTGGGTAGGGAGCGTGTGTGTTGTTGTGTCAAGGGTAGCCGGACCTCAGTAGTGAATCGAAGATACGACGAGGCAGTTCGGTGATCCGTTCTTGTCTTGTCTTTGTAGACCACCTAGAATGCGGGATTCACAAGTCCGGCAGCGCAGGCGGCAGGCTGTACGACCCTGGCGCATTCCTCAGAGCCAACCTGGGGTCCGAACAAGCTGCTTTAGGTACGCTGGAACCCCCTGCAAACCTAGTCTTTTTGTTGCACACTGCAGGCAGTTTCATTTCTTCATAGCGCTAATTTCTCCGAAAATTTCCACAAACAAACGTCACAAAGACATGGTCCCCCGACCTCACATACTATACTTTGATCTCTCGAAATTTGATACCGTACGCGTGCAAAATTTTAACACTCTAGCCTCTAGCACTCTAGACTCTAGCCTCACATCGTCTTATTCCCGTTATTCCAAGTGAATGCTGTCACCCAATGCTTCATACTACAGCCACTCAGTAAGTTACATTTATTGGCAGTCTGTTCTTCGATTTTCTTCGAGGCATTACCATCTTGGGTGCTTAGTGCAGAGTGGATGCAAAACGTGATGGTTGGAATGATAAAATACGGCTTTCCAAGCTTTAGACAACGCATTGGGAAGCTCGGACGATGTCGTTTTGATCTGTCGCAGATTGTCTCATAGTTTCTGGAAGACTGAGAAGATTTTCCCTGCAATCTCGGATAAGGCTTCAATTAGCTGGCAACTAGGATTTTAAGATTGCAGAAGATTTGTGTAAATTACCTAGGGAAAACTGAACAAAGTAGGACTAACTAGCACAGCCAGGGAAAGGCAGGACAGAGAAAAATTGGGACTCCCACCCACCCCGGCCCAAAGGGCTGGGGTGGGTGGGAGTTTCAATTTGGGCCAGAGTGACTTTGGGCCGGAGTGGCCCAAAGTCACTCTGGCCCAAATCGGTAACGCCGACTAGGTTCGACCATAGAAAATTTGGCGACACTCGGCGGGGGGAAGGGGCGAGGGCCTACGTTTTTAGGTTTTTTCCTGATCCCTCAAAGGTCATCTCGGTGATAGGGGGAGAAAATTGGCCTAGAAGGGCGGGAGGAATCGTACATTTGTCTTTTTATACTTGGGCCAGGTGGCACAAGCTACCACCCATTACCAAGGGTAGAGCCATTACTGTCCATCCATCCATCCGGCAGGAACCCAGAGGCTCCCCCAGGGATTCTTGAGCTCCCAAATTTCCTCGAATGACCCAGTCTCTGCATTAGGTGCTTTTTCGGACTGAGCACCATTTAAACCGATTTAAGCCTTTCATTAATGCATAAGTATCAACCGAACTTCTTCTAGTATGGGCATTATTGTTTACAATATCCATAGGCTCCGTTACACCGACACCAAGTTCGGGAGTGATTTCGCAGCTGCCATTCGAAAAAGACGGGTTTCTCAGAACCGAAAGGTTTGAAGAGGGCTGCTCCGAAGCACAACTCATTCGGTGGCTCCACTTTGTACCCCGATCGGACGGCAGAACTGCCGTTGCACTTGAACTCTGGAGCAAAAGAGAGGGAGTGCTCTGCAGCTCACTCCCCTGCGTGTGGTGCAGGCTCGTACAGCCCGACAAGCGGCACGGCCATGCTGCCCTTCGGCAGCGGCGACTGGGGACTGCACCAACGCGTGTCTGGGGGATCCGGGTCCCCCGGGCCCAACGTGGGGGGCTGCTGCTTTCCCTTCGGCACCTCGCCGCCCCAGGGGGACCCCCCGAACTTCGAGGCCCCCCCGGAGCTGCCCGAAGAGACCCTCCTGGACGTGAGTGGGGGCCCCTTTCTCGTTGCGTCTTGGGGTCCAATCTTGGCATGGAGGTAGGAAGCTTCTGGAGGCAAGCCAGAAGTGTGGAGGGACACGCCCCCAACGATGTCCAAAACAGAGAGACGCTATTGGACGAAAAGGAGAGCGCTCTCCTTTTCGTCCAATAGCGTCTCTTGGCCTTATGTCGTTTCCAGAAGCTTCATACCTCAGTGGACTATGGCAAAACGAAATTGGACGTTTGTATTTAAGCGGCGTAAGGTGTAAGGTAAACCCAGTAAACCCCTTGTGTAGAGCATTGCGTGATGCAGCGTCTGCGGGAAAGAAAATGCAAGTCACTTGTCGACTGCTTGCAGCCATATTGATAGACACGAGCGACACTGGGCGAGCTTTGTTTGTACACAAATGCTCGACCGTCCCTGAACTGAATCAAAATGTAGGTTATTCCCACTTGTTTCGCAGTATGTAAAGTAACACTTTTTGGTGGGGGTATAGGCACCTTTCTTGGCTGTCAACTTTGTTCGCTTCTTGGGCATCCGGTTAGTGTTTACGATGGATATTCGCCGAGACAGATTTTAGGGCACGCAGCTGCGTGCCAAGAAACTTTGTTTGGCGTAAGTGTGTTGTGCCCGTTGCCCCATGCTTGCCGTGAAGCCCCAAAGCTGACTTGCAATTTTTGGGACGAAAACCACACGTATGTCGCCGCTGACAGGTGGGTCGGTTGTGGCTTTGTCGTAATTCTGGTGCGAACCCCATGCCTGCAGCGTGAGCACAATGAGACCCTGGCCAAACTGCACTTCATCGAGGCTCTGGTCAGCTGCATCCTGGAACTGGCGCGAACCACGTCGGAGCCCCTCACGGCCGCCCTGTCCGAGTCCATGCTGTGGAGACAGGTGGGTGCTGCCCCTGCAAGGAAGGACCATTCTTGGGAAGGGGCTGCCATTATCCATTAGCTTTGCGGAAAACTGCGGGGAAAATTTGATGGACGAAGAACAAGAACCGACGAGATAGTGCCAACTATCAACTGAAAATTTATTTGAAAAGAAATCCAACGCATCACTGCGGGCAGTCAAGCTACACAGGGCCTGACAACGCCGCTGGACGGTGACGCGCCCTGTTAGTTTAAAAGTGAAGAGAGATGGTGTCAGAAAATCCTGGATTTAGCTTTAGAGACGTGTTTAAAGCTAAAGCTTCCGCAACTGCCTCCCTCCCCCTTTCTGTCGACTCGAGTCTGCCCGTCACAGTCCACGGTTGCTTATAGAAATATACTGCTGCTTTGCTTGTACAAAGAAACGAAGCGACCGATTAGAGGTTATGAATGGCAGTCAGTTACCTGTAGCAACGATTTTTTCTTATTGTTAATACTTGCCAGTGTTGCGCGACTTCGGCTTTCTTTACACGGATGCTTTCACATGGAAGGCGTTCGAAGGTCCGGTTATGGCGTAATGTGACGGGGTGCTTTGGTTGTAACGGAAGGTGGCAGTGTAGTTGACTTCCTCCCGTATCGTGCAGTGGTGCCTGAGTGCGGAGGAGCAAGTCGCCCGTGTGCTTGGCGAAAGCCGCCTGGGCCGCACTGAGCAGCTAATGCTGTACCTGCGGGCGGCCGAGCTGCTGGGCTCGGCCCTGGCCATGGCCCGGAGAGAGGTGCAGGCCCACCGGCTCCACACCTCCTCACAGGTGAGTCCGAGAGGCAGCTCCCTCCATCTAGGTCCCAGGGGAGCGGTATGCGAGCCCGTGATCTTCCCAATTGGTGCGGGGACATTGCGAAAGACGGAAGAGCGGGAGGGTTAATTCTCGTTGAACTCGTCGTTTGGTTACGCCGAGTTTGGAGGCCGACTTGTTCATTTTGGCCCAGAATGAGGCAGTGCCCGTTGGCATGCTTCGTATGCTTGCTCTTTCTTAACCGGCGTAGGAAGGGTGGCCCTTGCTTTATTCGATAAAGTTGTTCAGGAGCTTGTGGAGCTTACAAACAATAGTGAACATACCAGGGAGTGGTTGGCTTGTAGGCATGCATAGATAGGTAGCTTAGATTTAATAAAATAGTGCTTAAACTGGGGAAACACTTTGCCTAGGGGTGGCGACGGTCGAGGAAAATTGGCGTCTTGGGAAGTCCACGAGGGTACTCTGGAGAATCTCTCTGTTTCTAGGAACCCAGTTTGAGGTCCCACAATCTAAACAATGAAGTGTAAAAAAAAAAAAAAAAAAAGAGATTGGAACGTTTTACTGCCGGTACAATGCATGGATAACATGACCCGCGGTTGCAGGTGCGTGCCCTGACGCGCTGGATGCGGGATGTCCTGGGTACGTGCGTGTCCCAGGCCAGGAGGCTGCAGGCCTTGGGTGCAGTGGCCCCTCGGGAGCGGGAAACCAGGGACTCAGTCACCAACAAGCTGCTGTACGCCTACGCCATGGACCTGGTGGGTGGGCTGTTGCCTCTTGGCTATCCTTGGTGCAATCTGCCCGGGGGTAGGGCTTGGAAGCTTCGACACAGAGAGAAAAACGTCTCTACGTGTCGAAAAGGCAAAGTCTATTAAAACCGAAAAGCACCTACCGTAAAATACCGAGCATCCGCCCATCCCGCAACAAATGCCCACTCATCAATTTTGTGTCGTTCGGAGAATATGCAGAAGACATGTCTTTACGTGTGGTTTGCCTAAGGAGCGCCCATCCCCTAGTTTTGCACAATTATCTCCAAATTTCAGATTTTAGTGGGTGCTTGCTTGGGATTATACGGTATTTCTTGGAATGCTTGCTCTACCTAGAGCTGTTTTTTTGTCAAAACCCTCCCTTTTTAGTCTGGAATGGGAACTTTTGGTTGTTAATTAGCTTTTTACACCGATAGTCATTGCTTTAGCGTCAGTCTGAAGCAGATGACCCCAAAACACAGATATTTTAAAAATAAATAAATGCAGAAAGACATTGTTGATTTCCCTTGTAAATTATCGTCTACGGTCTGCCTGCTCGGTCAAGTCACGCAACCCCTACCCCCTTGCAAGGCTCGGGAGTTTTACAGCAATAGCTGTTATGGGCTCTTCCTACCACTGGAAATGATGTCCATTGTTGTAGTTGTTGATGTTATAGTAGTGGTTGTCATCGTTGATGTTGTTGTTGGCGATGTAGGGCTTCTGTCATCGATGTTGCCAAATCCTCGAAAAAGATTGCCCGCTTTTGCGGGAATTGAACCTGGGTCTGCTGCGTGCGAATAGTAAGCGTTACCACTGAGCTACGCCGCAGAGTTAACAGCTTGCTTTAAACTTGGAGGTTTTCCAGTACTTGATGCCCACTGCACGTGTTCTCTGGAGAAAAATAAATAGACGATGACGAAATTCCTTTGTAACACCATCAATGCCAAAAGCTTGTGCCAGGAGATGTGCTGAAAAAAAGAAACAAAAGCGTTTGGAACAATGTGGTGAGATGTTTATTTTGTTCCGAATGCTTTCGTTCACATACCCCATGGTGCGTAAGTGCGACGCCGATGCCCAATGACTTCGCCGTGACATGTTCCAGCTATCTCTCTGACTTACTGTGAATGAACTGCTCAAAGTGCCCCCTCAAAATTTCTAGACAGCCTCGGAAAATGGGGATGAAAACTTGTTTTGTATAAGGGCAAAAATGCAGAAGGGGCACACTGTGAGGTAGGCTTCGCCACTTTATACCGTGGTGCTTGGAGAACCGGCCGACGGCAAAGAGCTTCTCGGTTAGCTGGGTCGGCTCGAAAGTCTGGAGTGGGCACTTGATATTTGCTTTGCTTAGTTCCTGAACATTTCCACAGAAGTGAGTGAGGAAAAATGTGTCCTCACATGTCAACAGAAAACTCCCCATTGGCCGTGGCAAGTATGAATAAATAAAAATAAAAAGAGGGGGCAACCAGTTCCCCATTGCTCGTGGCAAGTATAAATAAATAAAAATAAAAAGATACTCTGGAGCTGACGAGACAATATGGAGACGTGTAGCGGTTTCGGAACACAGCAGTCTTCATTTATCACGCGACTCCTTTTGTCACGAGGATTTACTCTGTAAATATGAGACATCTCGCGACATCGGCTAGTATATAACAGAGGGCAACCAACGTGAGTCAGCCTTTCTTGGCATTATTAGATAGTGAGGTCCTGATCCCTTGTTATCAACTCCAGGCATCGTCCGAGAGGTCGTCCGAGAGGTCACCATAGGCGGCGTCTTCGAGGTCGTCCTAGAAGTCGTCCTTGAGGTTGTCATAGGCATCGTCCTCGAGGTTGTCCTCGAGGTCATCTTAGAAGTCGTCCTTGAGGTCGTCCTAGATGTTGTCCTCTAGGAATCGTACTTGAGGTTCATGTAAAGATGAAGGACCAGCTTCGCTGGTCCTTCATCTTTGTGTGAAGTGGATGGGCTCTACAGTATTTTTTTTTTCGCATGTTTTTGTAGTTAGACAAATCAGTTCTTCACTGGAAAGTAGGGGACGAATTGATAGATGAAACCAGCCTGCCTTCTGATTTCGTTGTACCCCGTGCTATTATCCCTCATTCTTTTTGCCGTGCATTCGGTCGTGCAAGTGGGTGTGGATGTTGTTGTTGTGGTCTTGTTTTGCTCCTGTTGGCGTACTTGAGATTGAGAGTTCTCTGGTCTGCCTGCAGTGCCGCACGGCCTCCATGGGGGAGTTGAGTGCCCGCACGGAGGAGCTGGGCCCCCAGGACCCCAACGCCACGGAAGCCCAGCTCGCCGCCGCCGAACACAGGCGGGAGGTCGTGGCCCTCACTCTGACAGAGGTGCGTCACAATACCCGCAATGGCGCGGGGAAAGCCACCTGGGGGCCTTGAGCAGTTCTGGCCACCAGTCTAGAGCAGCAGTTTTCATACTTTTGGTCGTCACGGACCCCCTAACCCACTCGGAGGTCGATAGGGGACCTCCAATGCGCTCTGCATTGGAGGTCTTGTGCGACGTTATAGAGGGGCTTTTTATATAGGAGTTTTTTTTATTTGGCGGAGACCCCCATGAACGCTCTCTAGGAATCCTGGGGGTCCGTGGGCCATAGTTTGAGAGAACTGCTGGTCTATAGTATTTGTTTTCTCGGTGTTAACGGGTCACCGAAGTTGGTTTGAATTGGACAAGCTTCGCACAAGTTTGCGGTCATGTAATCGCTAGCGTGCATTGTGTATTGAACGTTCAGGTTGGCATTTGACCTGACCTGGCCACATTGCTTTTCTTTGGCATTGAACCATTGTCGTTGTTTCTTGACACTCAGTTTTTTTTGCTGAAGTGATTTTTGAAGTTTAATGCTAAGGTGGAGACACGTAGCATGCTTCTGTTCCCAGAAATGTCATCTTTCCTGGATTAGACGTTCGAACTTGTAAGGTCTCGTGCTCACCGCCTTGCTGTGGTCTGTGTATTCACGCAAGATTGGGCTAATCGGCGAGCAAGTCGACCGAGACACGTCTTCTTAAAGGCCAAGTCCTCGTTCATAAAGAACTGCAGCCATTCCTGCCATTGCCACAGCTAGCACAGAGCACCACTGCAGTGCGGCAGTGCCGCAGCTGCCAGTGCCCGCTCGGAGCAATCCGGTCGGAGTGCGGCTTTGTTACATCATCATAACCATCCGTTCAAGGAGCGGACAAACTTGATCGCAATATACATCCACTGTTCCTAATAAGTGTGAAAAGGATGCGAGTTGATACAGCAGTCACAACCTTGTGCTTCACTTGGCTTCCATGCAATGTCGTGTGTACCTGTCCTGGTACCCTCGTTGAGGTCATGCGTTTTTGTGCAGTGCTTCATCCGCTACCAGACTGCCCAGATTCTTCTGCACAGCCTGGCCCAACAGATGGAAAGCGACGCAGAGAGGCTGTTCATCGGCAGACGTGAGTAGTGCCAACCACACCTGTCCCTTGGCGCCAGACAGATTCCATAACTACTCCAAGAGGGCATGCTAGCCACCGACTTTAACGCACTCTGCGCTAGAAAGTGTTGAGTCACATAACTTCGAAACTGGAAGTGCGATCTTTTTCCAACTTTCTTTCGTGGAAAAGAGGCAATTGCACGAGAATTTTTCTTTGGGAGACAGTTGTTGGATTTTCTAGAGTTCTGTTTTTGTAGATGAGCGAAGAATCGTTGCTCATTGTTAAGAGCATAATAATTCATACGTTCGTTGCCTAGGAAATTGTTCGTCCGGCGTATCCCTCTTCGTTGCTGTGCCTAGCTTTGTTCTCGGAGTGAAGGCATCTTGTTTGAACGTCGTGAAAAACCGAGCAACGATTTGCTCTACGACAGCTCGTAAATGTTGTTTGTCTTGCGTTTACGACATAATAATTAGGATTCTATCCTTCCCTTATCTGTACTGTAAACTTGTTTGCAGAAAGAAGTGATGGGCCAAACTTTTGCTGAATCGAAGATTAGGATTCGGCAAAGTTGAATTTTCGCCGAACTTTTCTAAATATTTGGCAAAGATTCGGCAAAAATACATTGTCGCCAGACCTAAAAGTTATTATTTCGTTTTTTGTTAGCAAAAAAATTTTTCGTTTTTTTTTTTTTTAAATGCATAATGACAGAGTTGGTAGTACTAAATAAGTTGATACAAGATGATTGTATCGGTGTCATTTTTGTGTTTGCCGAATTTTCGCCGAATCTTTGCCGAGTTTCCCTTCAAAAGTTTGGCATGTGCCATACTAAGTTAGTCAGATTCGGTCCATCACTAGCAGAAAGCTTTGTCTACGACGACCTCCCTAGTTCAACAGATATGCCGGACGTCGCTGCATAATAGGATCGTTCCGCGTCGAAACCAGAACCGTAACTAACTTATGAGGAGCTACGTGGTGCACTCGAGCTCCACACCCCTAGCTCGGGTTTCATTGCCGCAGAAAGTTGCCCTCGACTATGGAGTAATGGTACGTGCCTTCATTTGCTCGAACAATTCATACCTGCCAACTCTTCCGAATTTTTCGTAAAATTTCACAAATTGGGACTACTTTTACGATTTTGCGAATCTTCAAATTTTACAAAAAACAAAATATATTTAAAAAAAAAAATTTTTTTACATTTTTTTTCTACAATTGTTGCTGGCGGTATCTTGCACTGCCACAAGAGGGCGATAGGTACCGTCCACGGCAGCGTCGTGGTTTTTACTATCCGTCTGGTGGCCACGGATCCAAAACCAATCCAAAGCCCAAAGCCTTTGTTCGTGTGTTAGGCGGCGCACGTTGGTTTGGCGTGTTCAGACATGGTTGGGCCTCTCTGTTTCCGCCAGTTTCGAGGCGAGAAGTGCGGCGTCTGTGTTTCTTGCACGTGTAATCGTAGCATTCTCCTGGTCGCGGTGGCTTCGCGGTGCAATGGCGAACTCCAATCCTCAAAAGAGGTACTTTCAGGTGTTCCTGAAGTGGGGTTCATATCACATGAGCGAATGATGTTTTAGCAAACAGCGACATTTGAGCGAATCGACGTTGTAGCGAATAACAGGGGCGTGCGTTAACCCATCCGCCGCGCTGCGCTTGCGCCGCTTCACGGCGACAGTCTGCGGCGGCTCATTATAAATGTGAACCCATTTGGCCCACCTGAAAATTCCTCTTCGCGGCATCAGACTATTCGCTAAAGTGTCATTTCGTGAAACGTGGGCGGTTTGCTAAAACGTCATTCGATCAAGTGAGTGCCTCCCTCCTGAAGTGCTACACGTCGAAATTCCCGCGTTTTGTGCCGTATAAAAAGAGGGAGAGAAGTTTGGATTCTGTAGCACGTACACATGTGATGTAAGCGTTTCGCACGGTGGCAAGGCTGACATTAAGCTGCACATCGCTTCGCGTAAACCCCCCCCACGACGGCCACGGGAGTTTTACGAATTTGAAAGTCTACAGGTTGGCAGGTATGGAACATAATGGGAGAGTGATAGTCATCGCACTCGAAAATCCAGGGAACGCACGGCAGGCTCTTTATTTTCAATGTCGCTCACGCTCCTCCTTTATTCTCTCAATTTCAGACAAAGAAGCAGTCGAAAAACGCCTCTCTCTTCTTCAGAACAACGGGCTCGTGTACGCTTACGACTGCACCTGACGCACCCCGTCGCAGAACTCTTGAAGACCTTTCCTTTCCTCGTCCCGTTCTTGAGTTTGGCCAAGTCCCCCTGCTTCCGTCTAGCAAGTGTCCTTCTTTCATTTAATTGTTTCCTGCTGCCTCCCCTCGTTGGCATTTCATCCTTTTGTACAGTTTGTTGAACCTCCAGCTGCGTGTTGCAATGGCTCGATATTCACCCACAACTTTTAAGACTTCTTGTTTTTTTTTTTTTACTTTTTTTTTTCTACACGGGGGCAGACCCTGCAGCGGTACGCCATCCGTCGTATGCCTTAGTGCTCCCCGCACGCTTCTTAAGCACCGACGCCTCTTGGGCGGAGCATTTGTGCCGCCCTAACCTTTCGTGTAACGCACGAGGCCCTTTCACGCCGTGCTTCGTACACTAGTCACCTTTCCCCTCATTTCAACCAATCAAAGTGTGCGGTGCGCGTGGCGCCGCTTTGCTCCTATTTTCGGGGAGAGCCGAGGAGAGATCTCTGAGGCTGCGAACAAGCGGCGGTTTTATTGTAAACAACTGACATTGGGTGGCCTTTTTTTTTTTTTCTTTTTTTTTTCCTATTGAATGTGTTTTTTTGTTTTTTTTGTCATGTAAGGGTTTGTTAGACGTAATTATTACTCGCCGTCACTTCTAAGAAGTCTCGCGTTTATAATTTTGACAGTGCATCTTTTTCACAATGTATAAATGGCATACTAGCTCCTTTATTGATTGTTCTAATGCTGATTTTTCGACAACTATTATATAATTGTTCAAACTTTACGAAACGTCGCCTTTATATCTGGGCTCGAGTTTTGTTGCTCTGCTGGTCTTGCAAAGCGGGTGTCAGCAATATGTACATAGGACACCCGGCAGCCTGCCGACTTTGTCTAGATGCGCCCACGAAATCAGCACGACTATCCTAAGATGCCAAGTTACTCTCTCGCTACTGAGCAACTGCAATGTTAGAAGGTACTAGGCGCCTGTACTTGAAACAGTTTTTGCAAAGAAGTTGTAACATTGCCAAGCACAAGCTAGGACTAGGGACAAGCACTGTAGATGTAGACGATTATTTTTTGTCTCAAGATGTTAGGATAGGCACCCTGTGAATATGTGAGCACTCCTCTCGATTGCCTTTGGGAGACGGGACAGCTCCATTGCTTTACGAGACGTTTTGACTACTAGGTTCCTGCATGCACGAGTGTTGTTGTGATATTTTGTTTTGACAATTAACCGAAAGATGGTTGTGCGTAGCTAACAAGAACATTCTGCATTCTGACTCGTAATGTCACGTTTGTATGCTGGGTGTAGAGAGCACAAAGCATCTATCTCGTGTTCAGCGTTGGTCCCCTTGCACTGCTCTGTAAATAGGTATAAAAATGTTTTTAGGAGGGCTGTACATATTGACGGCGCACGACCAAAGACGTGTACGAAGCGCCACTGCTAGGCGAGGCGATGGCCAATGTAACTCGTGTAATTATATGCTTCGGAGATAGCGTTTATTTTAATTGCAGTTGAGTGCTCTGCGGTCGCTTCCACTTGTTTGAGTCTATAACTCTGGATAAGTGTATTGATCTTGTACAGCTGTTTGTAATAAAGAAAGCGTTCTGCAACTGCCAACATTTTGTTGCTGCTCATTGAGGGAGTGTTGTAGACTTCCATTTTTCATTAGGATACAACAGGGTACTACAGGAAGCATTATATTTCAGTTACCCATAAATTACAATGTAATGTTCTGGCAGATAATTTTGGAACCCTTCATGCTTTTGTTTCTGTCTGTCTTGGTTAGAATGGAGAGCTTCTCCCAAATTGAGTGGCATCAGCTCTTTAGCACAGGATATCAATGGTGTAAATGGCAGCAAGGCTGATGAAGATTACGAGCTTGTGCAAATAGGTGCCAATATTTGTGCCTTTCGCAGAAATTCAGAACCAAAAAATGGTTATTGCTGTTGCATCGACCAAATAATGAAAAAGCAGGACCAGTCTTGCCTCTTCTAATCGTGCGTGAATAGGTAGGACTTTTGCATATTCATTAAAAACAGTGATATTTGGTACGACCATCGATGCAAATCTAGGATTCGGAAATGTTTTGAATAGTAATTTACTAAGTGCCTTCCCCATAACCACAAACAACTTTATTGATTAATTTTCATCAGTTATTTTGAGTCAAAGTGATGTGTTGGAAGGAGTTTTTCAGAATGTGGGGAACTTGCACTAAGAGTTACCTTCTTTATGCCGAAACTTCGGCGCTCCCTCTACTGTCAAGTCGTTACAGTGGACCTCTGCAATATTTTGCAACTTTCATGGTTTTTTGTTTTGTTTTTTTTTTAGTTTGAAAAAGTATTATTTGATCCAATCTCTGCATCTAGCACTGACGGTGCTGTGGTTGTTTGAGGCCTGTTTGGACGTGTGAAATAGCTCCGTTGAGTGCGCTTGTTATTGAGTGCTAGTGCAATGCGGAAGAGTGACACTCACTGGGACACCCCCGAGTGAGTGTCACCCCTTTGTTTTTCTGAAGGTGCCCTCTTTATTTGCAACGACTCCTCTAGCCTCAATGCCCCCCTCCTAAAAGTTTAGACACCCCTGGCCCCCCCCCCCCCCCCCCCCTAATTTCAATTCCTGGGGAAACCTGCGCTCCCAGAAACAGTGTCGTCCAAGAGCTGTTTATCATGGTGGAATAAAAAAAAAAAAAATCGGGACAAAAAGAAAAGGACACATACGACAGACAAGCGCTTTTAATACCAACACCAACTAGCCCGACTTTTAACAGTGCTGCTGCTTAGCATGGTTTTGAGAGAAAACTTGGAAAGCGACACGAGAAGCCACGTTGTTTCGTTACTGCTGCGCCCTTTTATGCTGTCCATGGTTCTGTTAAAATCTTCATACCTGCTCTCTGAAACAAATAAAAAGGTAAGGTAAGCAAGCACACTCCGTCCAAAAGCTGCCTGAAATCTGCCCTGGGTGGTTCGTAAAGCCTGTCCGTTTTTATTAGAGTAGTGACTTATAGTTCCAACTATCCTGATCCCCCATCGCCTTTCCACACACACACACACAAAAATGCAAACAGATAAATATAAGCTTAAAAAAAACATAAAAAGACAATAAAAATGTGAACAGATAAATATAAGTTTAAAAAAACACTAAACAGAAACAATCCCACTGGCATGTCTCAAAATAAACGTTCGTCGAAAAACAAAAAAAAACTTATTTTGCCCAATATTTATGCCACAGCACAAATTTTTCCGATTTGTGGGCCAAACCTTGGCCAAACCGAAGCTGCACCTCAGTGGGATGATGATGATAGCGTTTGTACACAAGATGCGCGTTGCTCTTCTCTGGACTGCTGGACCACTAAGTGCACACCCTATCATCATCATCATCCTACGGTGTTACAGTTTCGGTTTCGCTCGCAAATCGAAAAATTCGTATTTTAGCATAAATAGTGGGCAAATAATTTTTTTTCTGACGAACATTTATTCTGAGGCGCCTCTCTTGACAAGGTAGAAAATAATGTGTTTTTTTTTAATGAGTTCAGTGTCCTTTTAATTAAAAAAAACACTAAGACGACCCCCCTCCCCCTCATTTTTTTGTTATGCGATTTATTATGGTGTGGGGGAGACTACCCAATCAATATATTGTTGCAGAGTCAAAGCCAAAAACTAAACTGCTCGAAACCGAAACACGAGCACGGAAGCTCATAGCCGGAAGTCACGTGGTACACCCGTCTGCGTTTTTTTTTTTTTTGTCTCCACTTCGGCGTATGAACTAGACGGGGACGACGACGACGAACTTGGTGCACCGTTTGTTGTGTGATTGTTTCGCACTTGTATTTCTACCGCTCGATGTTCAAGAACGACAGTTCCGGAACAGCTGTCCCACGTCTGTCGTGCGCTGCCATCGCGTTACAATCGCGTTGTCCTTCCTGCGGTACGTCGTGTACATGTACAGTGGCCCAAGCTTTTAAAGGAGCACTGAGACATCAAAGTCATATTCCCTTTTTTTTATAATCCGAAACGATTGAAAACGATGCCGGGACATTGCCCTCAAACTTCGAAACTTGTGGATTTAGTATTTGTGAAGTAAAAAAAGAAAAAACAATTTCCAAATGCCGAATTTGAAGTTCCCGCGCGAGCCACGCCAGTGCAGTGACGTCAAATTTTGCGGTCTCCTGTGAGTCGACTTTCTCTCGGACCTCCGCTCCACGCTACAAAGCAAAGCGCCGTTGCCACCGCGACCCGAAGCGCCAGCGGACCGGGAAAAACCGGTTTCTTTGTCCGGTTCCCCGACTCACCGATCATCCTCTGCTCGAGCGCCGCAAAGTTTTTTGAGGAAGGATACAAATCCAGGAAGCGACATCACACCGGACTCTGATTTTTGGTATTTTAAAACAGGGGCCGTAGTGCGTTCGCTATTGCGTTAAGAAAACATGTTTTACGATTGCCGTTATCAAATGTTATAGAAATGTCGCCTACAAAGCTTTTAAATTTTATGATTTTTGACGTCACCAATCAAAAGATGCAAGGAGGTGAGCAGCGGGAGAGAAAAGTGCCAAAAATAAAAAGGCACGCGCGCGCAAGAAAAAGTTTTTTTTCGAGATGTTTTTTCTTTCTTTTTTTTTTTTTTGCATGCTTATCACAACAATTTGCATCGTTTTAGACAACAAAAAAGAAATGACCTTTGGGGTGTCAGTGCAATGGGTCAGTGCCCCTTTAATAATATCAAGCGAACGTCGACCGCTGCAGAGCCGTGTATTGGACCGCTGGGACGACCAGCGCCGTGCCGCGGAGGGATGCGACGACATGGGAGAGATTAGGCGCTTGCGCATGAAGCTCCTTCCAGTGCGAGTGTCGTCTGCTAGGCTATCCCGTCCACCGCACTCAGCCTTTGTTCATTATCTGCTGGCAGAGCTGACCGCCTTTAAACAAAGATCTGAACAACTTTTGCTTGAGTGATACTGCTCAGGTGTGGCATAAACCGCTCGTCATCTCAAGTTTAACTTAGTTTTTCCGTTTTTTTTTTCATTTCATGTTTGCGGTTTTTGGTACTTTTTTTTTTTTGTGAGCACCAACAAAAATGAAAAATAAGGTGACGTGACAAACTGAATGCAACGGTGCATTAAAGGGACACTACAACGAAATTTCGGCGCTCATTTTTTTGTCTAAATGTGTTCAAAGGAGCAGCATCACATCGAACATACCAATATCTTGTTAAAAAAGTCACGAAAAGGAATTTTAAAACGAATTAAAGGGGGGTGCAACGATTTCCGGACTTCGGTCAAAGTTTCTGGAAGTTGCCCTCTGACACTTCTGAAGTAAAAAAAAAAAAAAACGATTTTGCCTGCGTGTCCTAGTTGTTGCGTAAGAAAAAAGATAAAGATTGGCATTTCGGGCACCCGTCAACTCACTCCCAGATTCAGGGTCACACCTGGTCCCCCTCCTAGCGACGTCATTCGGAGTGCCGTGTAGCTTCCCGTGTGCTATCTCGGAGGACGCTTCCTCTCCCTCTCTCCGCTGACATTAGCGGTTGTGACGCTGCAGCTTAGAGGTGAGCGAGGTCACGTAATCTTTTCGCCGTAGTTTTTTGGGCGGCCACTTGGGGCTGCAGGTGGGGGAAAAAGCTCGACTTTTGTTTTGCGATTACGCAGCGGAATCGCGACATTTTTAATGAAGGAAGTGTTTTCTCTATCCTCCGGGACACGATAAACAACGTAAAAATGACAAGATGCAAATCCTTTTAATCATAAAATCGTTGCACCGCCCCTTTAAACGATTAGCAAAGAGCACCTGGTGGATGTCGCTAACGCCTCGCTTGTAATGCCCGTCTAGGAACCTTGACAGCTGGTGACGGAGGTTGTCTTGCCTCCGTCCACGACGAGAGAAGGGAGGCAGGAGGAACTAGGGTGCCTACATGTTTCCGCCGCTCCGCTGTTTAGGGTGGCGACAACGTTTGTGATACCTGTTGCCGACAAACCAGTGTTGCCTACCTCGTTACCATGGCAGCCTCCGCTGTTTCGTCGACCATTTTGTCACACTCGCCAGTCGTGCGCTCGCGCTACTCCGCTAATCCTCGTTAGGGCTAGGGAGCGCCCACCGCTCTCGTTCCGAAGGCGAGGTTTCGGCGTGCGATGCCGGTCTGTTGCGTTTCAATTTGTCGAGGGGACTCACGTTTCGATAAACGCAACGCATACTTCCTGCTCGCAACTTCAAAGTATGAAACACCCGAATAAAGAGAGCGACAGCTACGACGACCGCCATCCCGCTGAGCCTCCGACTCGTCCGACTCCTCTTATGAACGGAAACGGAAGTGGCCTCACAGTGTTGCCGGTGTGTCGAAACTACGAAAATTCAACGTCGTGTACGTTTAGCGAAATAAGAAGTGGGTCAAAATGGCGGTGGGAGAGGATCTGGGAAAGGGTAACAAGAAGTTGGCGCCACCCTAAAGCGGAGCGGAAACATGTAGGCACCCTAGGAGGAACTACCCTCTTCCCGAGAATGCCTTTTGTGTGTCGCAGAAGTCGCTATTGTCCTCCTACAAGATTATAAAAGATTAACCCGACACTCAAAATTCGTACAAAAGCAGCCGCTTCGGTGGCCGGAACGACTAGGCCATCCTCTCGACGT